ATGCTCTGTCTCTCAAAAAATAAATAAATGTTAAAAAAAAATTTTTTAAATTAAAAAGGAAATATGGGGCACAGCAAAGGCAGTCATAAGAGGGAAGTATATAGCAATCCAGGCCTTCCTAAAGAAGGAAGAAATGTCTCAAACATATAATCTAACCTTACACCTAAAGGAGCTGGAAAAATAACTGCAAATAAAATCCAAAACCAGCAGAAGACGGGAAATAATAAAGATTAGAGCAGAAATCAATGATAGAAAAATCAAAAAAACAGTAGAACAGATCAACGAAACTAGGGGCTGTTTCTTTGAAAGAATTAACAAAATTGACAAGCCCCTAGCCAGACTTATCAAAAAGAAAAAGGACCTAAATAAATAAAACCATGAATGAAAGAGGACAGATCACAACCAACACTGCAGAAATACAAACAATAATAAGAGAATATTATGAGCAATTATATGCCAACAAATTGGGCAACCCGGAAGAAAAGGATAAATTCCTAGAAACATACAAACTACCAAAACTGAAACAGGAAAAAACAGAAGATTTGAATAAACCCACAATCAATAAAAATATGTTGAGTCCGTAATCAAAAATCTCCCAACAAACAAAGAGTCCAGGGCTGGATGACTTCCCAGGGGAATTCTACCAAACATTTAAGGAAGAGTTAATACCTATTCTTTTGAAACTGTTCCAAAAAATAGAAATGGAAGGAAAACTTCCAAACTCATTCTATTATCCCAGTATTACCTTGATTCCAAAACCAGACAGAGACCCCACTAAAAAAGAATTACAGACCAGAGACCCCACTAAAAAAAGAATTACAGACCAATTTCCTTGATGAACATGGATTCAAAAATTCTCAACAAGGTACTAGGAAAATGAATCCCATAATACATTAAAAGAATTATTCACCACAATCAACTGGGATTTATTCCCGGGCTGCAGGGGTGGTTCAATATCCACAAATCAATCAATGTGATACATCACATTAATAAAAGAAAAGATAAGAACCATATGATCCTCTCAATAGATGCTGAAAAAGCATTTGACAAAACACAACATCCTTTCTTTATAAAAACCCTCAAGAAAGTAGGGATACAAGGAACATACCTCAACATCGTAAAGACCATATACGAAAGACCCACAGCTAATATCTATCATCCTCGATGGGAAAAACTGAGAGCTTTCCCCCTAAGGTCAGGAACATGACAGGGATGTCCACTCTCACCACTGTTGTTCAACATAGTACTGGAGGTCCTAGCCTCAGCAATCAGACAACAAAATGAAATAAAAGGCATCCAAATTGACAAGGAAAAAGCCAAACTTTCACTCTTCACAGACAACATGATACTCTGTGGAAAACCTGAAAGAATCCACCAAAAAACTGCTGGAACTGGCCCATGAATTCAGCAAAGTTTCAGGATATAAAATCAACATACAGAAATGTTGCATTTATATACACCAATAATGAGGCAGCAGAAAGAGAAATCAAGGAATCTATCCCGTTTATGATTACACCAAAGCCCATAAGATACCTAGGAATAAATCTAACCAAAGAAGTAAAAGATCTGTACGCTGAAACTATAGAATGCTTATGCAAGAAGCTGAAGAAGACACAAAGAAATGGAAAAACATTCCATACTCATGGATAGGAAGACCAAATATTGTTAAAATAGCAATGCTAACCAAAGCAATCCACACATGCAGTGCAATCCTTATCCCAACAATACTACCATTCTTCACAGAACTAGTACAAACAATTCTAAAATTTGTATGGTACCAGAAAAGACCCCAAATAGCCAAAGTAATGTTGAAAATGAAAACCAGAGCTGGAGGCATCATAGTCCCAGACTTAAAGCTGTATTACAAAGCTATAATCATCAAGACAGTATGGTACTGGCACAAAATCAGACATAGAGATCATTGGAACAGAACACAAAACCCAGAAACGGACCCACAAATATATGGCCAACTAATCTTTGACAATGAAAGAGTATCCCATGGAAAAAAGACAGTCTCTTCAGCAAATGGTGTTGGGAAAACTGGACAGCAACATGCAGAAGAATGAACGTGGACCAGTTGCTTACACTATACACAAATAAACTCAAAATGGATGAAAGACCTAAATGTAAGACAAGAAACCATCAAAATCCTACAGGAGAAAACACGCAACCTCTTTGACCTTGGCCACAGCAACTTCTTACTAGGTATGTCTCCAGAGGCAAGGGGAATTTTTGGGACCTTATCAAGAAAAAAAGCTTCTGCACAGTGAAGGAAACAATCAGCAAAACTAAAAGCAACCGATGGAATGGGAGAAGATATTTGCAAATGACATCAGATAAAGGGTTAGTATCCAAAATCTGTAAAGAACTTATCAAACTCAACAGTCAAAACCCAAATAATCCAGTGAATAAATGGGCAGAAGACATGAACAGGCACTTTTCCAATGAAGACATCCGGATGGATAACAGACACATGAAAAGATGCTCAACGTCACTCATCATCAGGGAAACAGAGACCAAAACCACAATGAGATACAGGTGTGAGGACACTTGTCAGAATGGCAAAAATTAACAACTCAGGAAACAATAGATGTTGGGAGGGATGCAGAGAAAGGGGAGCCCTTTTGTACTGAGAATGAACACTGGTGCATCCATTCTGGAAAACAGTATGGAGGTTCCTCACAAAAATTTAAAATATAACTACTCTATGACCTAGCAGTTGTGCTATAAGGATTTTATCTAAAGGACACAAAAATGCTGATTCAAAGGGGCACATGTACCCCAATGTTTATAGCAGTGCTATCAACGATAGCCAAATTATGGAAAGAGCCCAAATGTCCATTGACTGATAAATGGATAAAGAAGATGTGTATATACAATGGAATATTACGCGGCACTCAAAAAGAATGAAATCTTGCCATTTGCAACAACGTGGATGGAACTAGAGTGTCTAGTGCTAAGTGAAGTAAGTCAGAGACAGATAAATATATTTCACTCATATGTGGAATTTAAGAAACAAAACAGATGAACATGAACATATGGGAGGAAAAAATTAATAAGATAAAAACAGAGAGGGAGGCAACAATAAGAGACTCTTTTTTTAAAAGCGTATTTATTTTTTGAAAGGGAGGGAGGGAGGAAGGGAGAGAGACAGAGAAAGAGCAGGAGAGGGGCGGAGAGAGAGGGAGAGAGAGAGAATCCCAAACAGGCTCCAAGCTGTCAGCACAGAGCCTGAGGCACGTTCGAACTCACGAACCGTGAGATCATGACCTGAGTCAAAATCAAGAGTTGGATGCTTAACTGACCAAGCCACCCAGGTGCCCCAAGAGGCTCTTAAATACTGAGAACAAACTGGGGTTGTGGGAAGGGTGGGTGGGGGGTTTATGGATGGTAGGCATTAAGGAGTGCACTTGTTGGGACTGGCAATAGGTATTATACATAAGTGATGAATCACTAAATTCTACTCCCGAAACTAATACTACACTATATGCTAACTAACTTGAATTCAAATTAAAAAGAGAGAAGAAAAGAAAAATTCCCTGTAAACTCACATTAGCATCGTTCATGTAAAAAACCTGAAATGGGGCCCCTGGGTGGCTCGGTTGGTTAAGTGTCCAACTCTTGTTTTCTGCTCAGGTCATGATTTCATGGTTTGTGAGTTTGAGCCCCGTGTCAGGCCCTCTCTCTGCCCCTCCCCTACTCATTCTCTCTCTCAAAATAAATAAACTTCAAAAAAATTAAAAAATCAGAAATAAATGGTGATGAGAGCCTAAAACAAACAGGAAATACGATTGTGGAATATCTTTGGTTCTGGATTATCTGTAGTAATGGAATCACAGTTCTAAAAATGGGGGAAATAGTAAAGTCAGTATTAGCTCTTACGTGTCAGTCACTCCACTGGTACTTTAAATGCATTTTCTCCTTCAATTCTGAACTCCGAGGGGCGTATTAATATTATCCATGTTTTATCGGTGAGAAAATTGAGTATTTATTTTTGAGAGAGAGGCAGAATGCAAGCGGGGGAGGGGCACCGAGAGGGGGACACAGAATCTGAAGCAGCTCCAGGCTCCGAACTGTCCGCACAGAGCTCCACACGGGGCTCAGACTCACAAACCACGAGATCACGGCCTGAGCTGAAGTCAGACACTTAAGGGACTGAGCCACCCAGGCGCCACAGGAAATTGCAGGTTTTTGGAGAAGTTAAATAACTTCTCTAGGTCAAAGAGCTGGAGAGTCTCAGAAACCTGATCAAACCCAGACCGATCTAACTTCAAAGCCCATGCTTTGAAAACATGGTTTTGTGTAGGTGGTGAGACAGGTCCCAGCTTTAGGACCTCAGCTATATGCTGCTGATTAGATATATGACCTGGGCAGGTTATACAATCTCTCTGAGGCTTCATCTTCCTCATCTGTCAGATGGGGTTAATGAAACCTTTCTCGAAGTGTTTTTAAGATTAGAAATAGTATTCTTTTCCCTGAAAGATACTCAGTGCGCGCACTAGATCATTATTGTATTTGTAACCTTTAACTCGTTGGGTCTTTCTCCTGTCAGCACCTGCATGTACCACCCCCAAAGATGCTACCGAATGGGCCATCACCACAATTGGAAGGACCATCCATTTCTAAAATGAGTAGGGAGGTTTGCTCTGTGAGCAGGGAAAAGATCCCTGCCTCCGAGACATTACCAGACCCTGAAGCCTGATGGGGTAATGGTGAGAACTAAGGACGTTAAAAGCTGGGTGTAATTTCAATAAGTAGAAAGGAGAGGGTTTTGCATTGAACAGAGCTGAGGGAGAAAGCGTGTTACCTGTTCCTGGGATGAGAATAGACAAGTTTGGTTCACTCCTGTAGGAGATACAGTTGTGGGGTACTGGCAGAAAAGGTCAGAGAAGATGCATTAGGGCCAGATGATAGAGAGGCTTCAGTGTCCTGCTAAAGAGTTTGACTCTTAAAAATTTTAAAAATCGGAATTGGCTATAGGATTGAGAAATTAAATTTCTCAAAAAGAGCGATTTTGCACCCTACCACATTAGGATAGCCCGAAGTGCCAAATCAAAATACACCGTTGCTTATTAACTGAGCACAATAAGTAGGTGATGGAATAGTTACAGTTAACCTGGTTTGCTTATGAAGTCCTGGTTATCCTGTTCACACAGGCTTAAACAAGCTTAATTATGAAGAATTCATAGGAGCCATAATTAATTAAGCCATAATTAAGCCAAAATATACTTAACTATGAGTGGCATAAGTTTTTACATTCATCGGGAAACAAACGATTTCCCATGACGCCCGACGTATAAGCGCATGAAGTTTTAAGCCAGCTTTTTACCTCCATTTACAGCTATACCTGAGAGAGATGTGGGTTCAGCTCCAGATTGCCACAAACACCACAATGAAGCAAGTCAAATAACTTTTTTGGTTTCCCAGTGTGTATACAAGTTATGTTTACACTAGAGTGTAGTCTATTAAATGTGCAATAGCATCTCTAAACAAAGCAACGTACATACCTTAATTTAAAAATACTTGATTGCTATAAAAATGCTAACCATCATCTGAGCTTTCAGTGAGTCATAATCTTTTTGCTGTTGGACAATCCTGACTCCATGCTGATGGCTGCTGACTGATCAGGAGGCTGCTGATGGCTCGGGTGGCTCTGGCACCCAAAATGGGGGCGCCTGGGTGACTCAGTCAGTTGAGCACCTGACTTCAGCTCAGGTCATGATCTCATGGTTCATGAATTCAAGCCCCGCATCAGGCTCTGCACAGACAGCACAGAGCCCACTTCAGATCTTCTGTCCCCCCCTCTCTCTGCCTCTCTCAAAAATAAACATTTAAAGCGTCTTTTAAAAAGACAATGAAGTTTGCCGCATTGACTCCCTTCCATGAACAATTTCTCCGTAGCACGTGATGCCGTGCGGTAGCCTTTTACCCCCAGTAGAACTTCTTTCAAGATCGGAGTTCATCCCTTCACACCCTGCGGCTGCTCTGTCAACTAAGTGTACCTCGCGTTCTAAATCCTATGTTGTCATTTCAACAGTCTTCCCGGCATCTTCACCAGGAGTGGATTCCATCTCAAGAAACCACTTTCTGTGCTCATCCGTAAGAGGCAACCCCTCATCCGTTCAAATTTGATCATGAGCTTGCAGCAATTCGGGCACATCTTCAGGCTCCACGTCTGATTCTAGCTCTTTTGCTATTTCCACCACAGCTGCACGCACTTACTTCCTCCACGGAAGTCCTGAACCTTCAACGTGTAAAAAATTCAGTATCTGCCCTGTGCAATAAAGCAAGGTATGCCTGTGTTGTGCTATTCCACTTCTACCACTGCATACACAATGTAAAACATAAATAAAACCAATTGGAAAAACAAACCAGTTAAAAGCAATTCTGTTTCCTTTGTTATCCTTCACAGGCTTCGGCTGCATAACTAATATGTTATAACTGGAATCCCTGGCCCGGGTCTCGTGCACCTTTCTTGAGTAGGTGGAATCCATCAGAGATAAAGCATTAAGTAAATGCAAACAAATTATAAACTCTCTTTAATCCATTTTAATCTGCTGCCTTTGCCTTGTCTCCAATATTCTTATCCTTGGCCACTCCCCTAATTTAGTTTTCATACTGAAATTGTACAGTATCCCTAATCCTGTGGTAAATCAGTGCTTTTATCATCTGTGTGATCTGATTTTTCTCACCATGACCAAAAGTCAAAGGGGAGTGCTTCCAAAGCCTACCTAGAATACCATATTGCCAAAACTCAATTGTACTCATAATAGAAAAGAGAGGCAAATGGGGCGCCTGGGTGGCGCAGTCGGTTAAGCGGCCGA